CAGACAGCTGAAGAAAAGACAGAGAAAAGCAGAAGTGCTCAGGGATACAGTTGATCTTGCCGCAATCATTCAGGTGGTGTCAACAGAAATGAATGAGCCCACCCGGTCTCTTCTACCACTGGTTGTTTTCTACCTGAACCTCTCCACTATTGGTAGAGGAAATAGGCTTGTTTCAAGCCTCCTGACACCGCCCCCTGTGATTGCGACGATATCAACTACTCATCAAAACTACTTGTTAACATGATTCTTCCAATGTTTTCAATTTCTGAAGCATCCCAAAGCAGCCACTGTACCCAAAAAAGCCTGTGAAGCATAAAATTGTGTTGTTGTTAAGAAAGTACATTGAGGAAGAACCTCATGAGAAAATTTTCAGTTGGAGGATCGCTTGGGGATCTTCCAACTGAAAATGCTGTTGCTCTCAATGATCTAAAATTGGCTCCTCCAGAAAGGGATTAATTTTAGATTATTGAGAGCAATAGCATCAATGGTGAGTGGGTATGCATAATGGTGAGTGAGCAGAATCTCGATACAGTAAATGAAATAGAGCTTTCAAGCATAACAGGCTTTGGACGGGAGATAGGGGGGGGGGGAGGGGAAGCTGATATAATGGACTGTCCGATTCAGAGGTTGGCGCACCAATCTGCTTTGAATGAGCGAGTCAGGAGATGTGGCAAAAGCCATCGAGCTTATTGGTTTCGCTGGAGGCGAAGACAATTGAGCGCCATAATCTGCAGTTCGAGGAAACGGCACAGGTATTCACATAGATTTCATGCTCGACCGATGGTATGTAACTGGAAGGGGTTGGCACGCGTGGAATGATGGCGAGAAGGGCGTACTGTTCAACTTGAAGGAAGGGATGTAACGGGCAATTTTAAGCCATCTGGCTGGCTGAGGATCGCTCTTGTAGTATGACACTGGACAGTAGTCCTCAAAAGAACTACATGTCTCATCGGGATGATGAAGGAGCATCGCGGTAGACTCTCGCAAGAGCAGAGTGTCTCACAAAAGCAGGTAGCGGCAGTGGGGATATGAGTGCGGGATAATCAACGCGGATGGATGTGAAATATACAAGTCAAGTGGAGCGCTGAGCGCTCAGCTGCCGGAGATGCAGGTCTTGCAGAAATGGCGAATGGAATAACAGCAAAGGAATCGGAGTGATCACCATAGGCTAGATCCGGTCAGACGTCTCATGTTTCTAGAACCTCCTGTGAACACTAGTTAGAGATGGTCGACCTCGATGGAGCCCTAATAATTCTGCTTGATTAGCTGTGGCTGCAACGTGGTCCCGACCAGGTTTCCTGCTGATTTCAGGAAATGAATCCTGTGACTCGCTGTGCTGACTGGCGGCCCAGGATACAATAATTGGCGTGACGAAGGGCTTAATTTATCTTCAATGTGAACTACATCATAAGGTAATTCCTAGGATCTCAAAACCTTTCGATAGCCTAGCGCAGCAATTCTCTAGATTAGAATATAAACAAACATTAGAGATGGAAAACGGAGGAAAGCATTTCGCTCTTAGCTCCATATGCAATGTTCTGCTCTGTGATTCCTTAGTAACTCCAAGAGTTTCTTAGATTCCTTGCAGAAAGTGAAAGATACGAGGTGCTCAGAACCTCTGATGGGTCACGTCAACATCGCCGCGTACCTGGCATTTGTCCCATGGAAGCGGCCACGGTACCATTCCACTTATTTCGCCCTTTCTGTTGGCTGATTTTATCAATCACTTCGTTTCAACTAGAAATGAACTTGGAGTGAGCAGATTCACGCATGTGTTACCAAAAGTGCACGAAATTTGCCGCTGTGAACCAGAGTGCGTCGTAGTCGTTGTGGAGATTTCTGCACTCAGGGAACTACTTAGTCACTGGGGAGAATTGTCTTCCCCCTCCCCGCTACACCTAGTTGGCAGCGCTGCAGAACTACCTCGCAACTACTGTTTCTGATAGTTAAATGAGTGTATGATTGTGAGATATTCTCGTCACTCTACAGCGATAAACAACAGGCTTTTAGAAAAAAGAGAGAAATTTTCTCAGGGAACACTGATTAAGAGATCTGGTATGAGTAGAAAAGCTACCAGAGAAGATTGCAATAGAATAATGGGGCCGCTACGCAGTATGGAGGAAATTTCAGGAGGATAATGGGGATAACACCGCCATTTCACACATCCGAAGAGATGACCGCCCGTGGGAACACCATGAAGTAATGAGTAAACTCCTCGCGATTATTATTATTGACTTATTTTGAATGGGGTTATTATATTATACTATTTGACTAATTAATTAGTATTAACATTACAATTATGTATTATATTATTAGTTATGTTATTAAATCATTATTATTATTATTATTATTATTATTATTATTATTATTATTATTATTATTATTATTATTTATTATTATTATTATTATTATTATTATTATTATTATTATTATTATTATTATTATATATTATTGAGTTACATAAAAAATAAAACAACACTTCGTTAACCAATAACAAATTTAATTTTAGTTTTAGCTAGATTCATTGCGATTCTATCAATATATCATTAACAGCGGTCGATGGCAACAATCCAGTAGCGGCGGCGAAAAACTCGACACAAGGCGGCCCTGACTGCTGGTGGGTAAGTTTCCCGTCAGGTCCTGGTGTGCTTCAATGATGAATGCCTGCGTCGAAGATCACCTGGACTAACTCTAAACCCACGACTGCGGAAATGATAAAAGGAAGATAATTGACACAATTAATACGATGCTTCCCTCTGGGACGCTGCTCTAGAACACTCTAACTCTTTTCTGTGGAGCCCCAGCAATTTTTCAGCTTGATTTTGGGAAATACTTTCTAAGCTAATAGTATCCGCTGGTAGGGCCGAGAATTTGGGAGTTTGTTTTGATAAAATACCGACCACCAGCCAGAGTCCGGTGGATTCGCATCTTCCCTGCTGAAAGGCGTATTATTATGGGGCGATGCCGTCACCCGAATGGAGTGTTGCAAGCACTACCTGACTGGAGTATAATGTTATCCGATCCTAACACTCGAACCGCTTAGTCCGAAAGCTCTATCAGAGGTTTGAGCGCACTTGTGAGGAAATGCTGATGAAGCTGAGAAGGTTCAACGTATCGGAACCGAACATACATATTTGGTCGCTGATGAAGAAAAGAGTGACATTGTGCCTAGAGAATTGTTTTTGGTTGTCAGTTTTCCCGCGCCGGTATTCAACAGTACTTGTGATGTAGTCGTAATCGCAGTGGAGCGCTGGGCCTGTCAGGGAACAGGTTTTGGAGCGGGGCTAGTCACGTTTACAGCAACTGTATATGTGTCACCACCGACGACTACTCTGTTTAGCGAACACGGATGGAGTTGATGTGCCAGCACTGTGAGTGACGGCCTGCTCAGAGGTGTAATCCAGCGTGCTGAGACACGCACGCTCAGTGCGTCCCTCGATGTGATTACGTCTACAGGGCACGTCCGTGGCTGGAAGAATTCACAGAATTGACCATAGATGCCGGAGACGTATTGGTCACTCCGGAGTGGACACAGTATTTTTTTGATCACCGGAAGCTTCCGAAATTCTTGATGACAAACCCTCATGGGACATTGTCCTCCGAATCCATTTTCAGAGTACAAGGTGACTTTCAAAAAGCTTTCTGGCCTAGTAATCAAAGTCTACGATCGCCTTGAAACGAAGGCGTGTGAGGTCCATGATGTGCAAGGAACGTCTGCAGAATAGACGCTTTTTCCCAAGAAGAGTTGAGCTTGTACGGCGAGCCGAAGAAGTTCAAAGACCATAGAAGCTGGAGTAGTGGTCTAATAAGTTCGAAAATGGTAGGCAGAGGTGCTATAGTGTGAAAAGGGAAGAAATATAAGGAGCTAAGTTGGTGGCGGGGGGATTAGCGAACAACGCGAAGATGAATACCTGTCAAATAACCTGCAGAATAGAGCTTTTGTTCTACACTACTAGTAAAGCACTGTGCGGCACCGAGCTTACTTTCCCGTTGGAATCGTGCAATATATACTGCCTAACGGCATGCCTGTAATTGACTCATATATCATTATATCGCCAGGCTTCATTATCTAATTCATAATCTCTTCCCATAAGCCACTTCGCAATAAAAATTGCCGCCTATGAACAAAACAGGATGGTGTACATTTAGTATGGGCGTGGCAGCATGGGGGGTGGTGCCTGGTATTATAGTTGGCAGGCTTGATAGGGCAGATTCGGGTGCCTTCATTAAAGGGCCACACAGAAGGCTTTCTAAGGGAAGCAGAAGGCCGCCTTGGCCCACTCCAATCCACGACCCGCCACACGCACTATCATTCGGATTATAGCTGCACTTATCTAGGTGGCTTGCTAATCCACACTGAGCCATTTGAGCACGCCCACACCTACAACTAGTAGAAAAGAAAGATGGAAAGTTTAGTTGAGTAAAAAGCGATTCGGTTTTGATCCCAGGACCAGCATGTTAGGGCACCAGAACTTCTCCCCTTTTCTCTAGCACTTATTCCTTGAATCAATCAGAAAAACTCATTTAAAAGATACGATGAGGAACAGGAAATATGGACATTCAATTGGAACAATGTGTGTAATCGGTGGATCGTTGGCGCGGATTCTGTGCACACATCGGCTAACCCCCCATACCCAATCAGCTCTTCAAATAGTTGTTGACCTTTTGAACACACACAAATACAACCATCCTCGTGGATTTGTCAAGTGTTTGGCAGCTTTCCAAACTGTCTGTAACACAATCGCACGTGAAATCTGTTGTTCACCTCTTTGGTGCTTTTTCATACACCGCTATTCAAACAATCGACTGAACTCGTAACACTTCCCCTTTCGTTGACAATCAACGGCACAATGCTATACCATTTGGGGGCCGTTAAATAAGCAACTGAATAAATATAGGATATTTATTTCATTCTGAATATTCCATACATACAAAGGATATGCACAGTATATGGTACATGAAGGACTGATGATTTTACAGGGGGATCTCATGTTCGCGGATCACCTCGTGTCTGGTCTTGCTTGGTTGAGCCGTGCACTTTGCTTGATCTGTAAAAGAGATGTATGAAATATCGTTTGAAAGCCTTCAGGAAGGGGCATGCCCTCAATCAGAAGAATTCCCAATTCTGTGAGAAAGATTTCCAGACTGACTGCTCCGCATTTCCCAAGGTTGAAGGCATGGTCCGTGATCAGGTATGGAAGTTGAAAATATGGCATCGGGAGGGTAGTGTGGTCCGCGACGAACAACCTTGTACCGGTTTCGCGGCAAAAATTGTAAGGGAGGGGCGCTATAGCGCAATATAGGTTCAGTGACGCCTCCTTTTCCAGTGAAAACGAAGTTGCTGCGAAGCCATGGAAAAATGCGTCGAGCTTGTTACGGTCGAGAGTTCTTTATCGGGGACCAGTCTGCGGAGAAGCGTAGGGCATAGTGTTGGGAGATGGAGAATAAAATGGGGAACGTTACGGATGGGATCAAAAATGCAATTTATTCCAGGGCAGTTTTTACGCGATTTAGCGACGAACCTTGTCGCCTATATTGGACCCTCAAAGTTCCCACTATCCGTGCATGATGATACGATCGTGGTTACCAACTTCCATATATCAGTGCCTTCTAGGATGCGCCAGGCATTACACTTCCATCCAGAATCCTAGCGACATGCCGATTATGGTTTGGTCTACGTAAAGGCTTTCAGGGGCCAAGTGGTGGTGGTGCCGCCTCCACACTACGCCGGCGCTGCTGCACGCTTAGCCACTTGCACCTTCTCACTTCTGGTTGTTATCCGCCGCTCAGTGCATCTTTTACCGCAGGACTCTGATATGGATGCAAGTGCTGCACCTTGAGGATAGCAGACGGAGTCGGGAGACAGCACCGCGTATCATTGTCCCCCAACCCCATGCTCTTTGGGCGGAGAAAGTGGCACGCTACTGAGGACCAGCTCATCTCGCACATGGGAAGGATCGTCCGCGTAAATGAGGGTACAGTTTGTCCTTAAAAAACTCACATGATCGAACAATCGTTGTTGAATGGCTTTCTCGAGAAGCCGAACGACTTTCAAACCAGCGACGATTTCAGTCATTTGCGTGTACGCAGTGCAGTGACTCATTTTCCGTAGAAGTGCCCGATCCGCTTCGTATACCTTAAACAATTCAGGCCTTAAATGAACCCGCTCTGAATCGTATAGGGACTAGAATTTTGAGCACTCAGAGGATCCTTAATGGACGAAAAATTCAAGTAAATTGTGTGGGATTTCTGATCAGACACAGCAAGCGCCGTTGATGTGGTCATTCTTATACATATAATTGTTGAAGAGCGGCTGGCGCAGCGCCAAACCCAGCACCCAGCCCCCCCCCTCTGGCACGCCCCAACATCCGCAGCGAACAAGACTGTATGCAAGCTGTCGGGTAGATGTGGACCGGCGAAAAGGCGTTTGTAGACCGAGATAGATTACCTGTTTCTTCACGGTACCTTATCCTTAAACGGTTTTGTCAACCTTTTTTGATGGTTTGGAGGCATAGCTGAGATATGGGGATACATGGACTCAGACATAATCATCTGCCCTTCCGGCGTAAGTAGCCTTAGAATGGGCATTCAAGAGACCGTGGAATCGAGATCAGGTAGAATTCGAACATGAATCTCCCGCACTTGGCATGCGTTCACCACTTGAAGCTCCTTTCCTGGTTGCGGGCTTCGCGCGTCCTTCCCTGGTTTGGGCTTCGGCGAAAGCTCTCATCTACAGTACGGTAATTTTGTTTTGCACCAGCTCTTCAGATACCCCCTCCACGTTATGTGCTTTAGTTTGCATCAGTAAAGTGCCGCTTCCTCTCTCTCTCATCTTGAACAGATAGACGCATGAGTGGAGAAGCAGCACTGTCTACCTCCAGACGATCTGCCTGGACTGCGCCTGAGAGCAATGAGACGATTTTTAAAATTGTATTTTTTGCCTCAAACAGCTCCTCGCGAAATCCTGGAGGATGGTAGTGTTAATCCTCGCGAAAATGCCCAGGGTTTACGACCACCAGTTCTCTTCCATGAGTACTGAGGGAATGCGTGGCGTACTCTAAGAATAGACTGTCTTCTAGTCAATATTCTAGGAAAGACCCAAGTAGGCAAATTAATAAGCTCGCTGCACTGTTTCTTGCGTTATCATATCATCAATGATACGCACACTTGGCAATGAAACGTAATTGGAAGGGAGCCATCGGGGTGTTTTACGACCACGGGCGTATCGGTCTGATGAGATCGGCGCCTGATAAGCACCTTTGCTTGGTGCAACTGGAATTCTTACGGACTGCAAAGGTCCAATGAGACCAAAGTCGTAAAGATTTCTTAGGGAAAGTTGCAATTATGCAGGGGTGCGTCACACATTCCGTTTCTACTGGGGCTGTTTGGAAGTTGACTGGGAAGAGTATCTCACCGAAACAAAAGCTTCTGGAGTCCAAGGACATTTTCCTATTATATCAAACGACTACATACCTATCCCAGAACAGAAAATTATAGGAGCGGTCCCTTATCATACTCGCCCGGGGGGGGGGGGTAAATACGTTGAGCCTGTATACCGGCTGGTTCTCTACAAGTTCCTTTACCAAGCTGAGTGGCATTCAGAGGTCTCTATAATCTTGGATAGAACCCAAGGCATCTCAGAAATGGATAGATCAAAAGCGGAAGCTCCAATATATTCTTTATACCAGATCATAGTAACTTATGTGAAGGCTGTTTGGCTTGGTGGGGGCACAAATGGTACTCAGCTGGGCTTGCCTTGTGAAAATCTGAGCGACCAAAGTGGCTCTCTGTACCTTTGGGCGCTTCATAAGAGTTCACAGTTCTCACTCAAAAGGAGACCTGCTGTTTAACGTGGACTAAGAAAAGGACCTAGCGAAAGTGCGAAATGTCCCCTCAAGGCCGAACAGCGCCAGATTTTGTGGAGTTTGAATACAGTTACACAATTCAGTAGATTCCTAGCCCAAGCCGATCATGATCAATCAGAATCTTCATCGTTTTATACGAAGAATGGAAAGCTTGGTGAATCCGGGCTGGAATCGGTCCGAGATGTAAGCAGCGCCTACACTACTTGCTGAACAGAGCCGCAGTCCAGGAAATTAGCACTTCAAGGCTGATGGTCAGGAGATCCACAAGTGGAAAAAAAGGAGAAAGCACGGTCACTGACCAATAAGAACTGATCAAGCTGATGTGAGTGTTTTCTCGCCCACACTTATTCATGAAGGCGTGGGCTAGGACCGATCGAGGACTGCCCCTTCACCCTCTGCGCTACTTACGCTCTTGGGAAAGCATTAAAAATTTTGCAAACATTTCTTGAGGATACAAAGAAAGGTTCCAGGGGTCCTTCTTGATCATAATTGTCATGATAAGATTGATAGCACCGACATCAACTGCACTTCCTAAGAAAAAACTGATACTTTCTCTTCAGAGTGTCCTTTTCAGTTTTTCTAAAAGGCGCTCGTAAGCCTTTATGTTGTTTTACAGCTGATCATCACACTCAGCTGATCTCTTATCACTCACTGACGTTGTTCAAGTGTTCAGTGAGCGATTGATGATTACCTGCTCGAGATGTTTGCGAAGTGTTTGCAGCCGGCGGTCTCTAGCCAAAGGACAGGTGATCTGTTGAGAATCGTTCCTTTTCGATGGTGTCTGCGGTGGATCTTTCTCATAGGTCGGTTCGATCTCACATTCGAAGATGGTGTAATCAATCATTCTCTGGAAATGCAACATTCATTGATAAGAGATAACTGGTAAGAAACCAGCAAAAATGGCGAGAGATGGCAGTGAGGATGAGTAGAACTCATTAATTGTGGAGCATTGCCCAATAGATTGCGGAAGACCCACTTGAGGGAGTGGCGTAAGGAGCTGATGGGGGAGGCGGAGACCGAGCAATGACCTCTTGAAAGTGTTACCTACGGTCCTCTGCCGCCGCTTCCAATGTAAACGAATGCCAAGATAAGACCGCCTTTGAAGCTTGCGATAGATAATCGCGAATGATACACTGGGACGGTTCTGGCGGAAATCCTTGGCAGTTATGTCATCTTGATACTGCACTAAACAAAAGCCGCCTCTACTAGAAACTTTGTTCAAACATTTTTAGGGACTAACTTTTGTAAGGCTATTTGGAAGGAACCATCTCAAGTCCATCTGAGGGCCGAAGAGTTCAGTCTGAGCATAGATGCGGCCTTCTTCAGATTGAACTCTGCAAAAACGGTTCGAAACGGCCGAAAAGGCCCGAAATAGGGTTGTTTAATCGTTCCAATGAGAAAGTATATGAGTCTACGGCTAAATTGCGACTCAAAGATCAACGTGAAAAGGATCACGGAGACTGCACAGGAAATATGAAAACACATCACTCCAAGCGGTAGCAAACTTCATGACAATATCAACGGGGTCACTAACAGAAGCGGTGATATACTTGTGACATTTTCAAGAAGCAGCTTTGAGGAGATTTGTGGGAATCAGTTGAAAAAAGCCGAAAAAACAAAACAAGTCTAAAACTCCAAAACGGGGGCTGCT